AATTTTTAATGAAAAAATCTTAGTAGGCTTTGCAATCTTTGTCAGAAATATTTTTGACGTTTAAATATCAGTGGTTTTCTTACTTTATTATTGTTTTATTTAAAATTTTGAAACGTCGAGTGAACGAGCGTAAATGCGATAGAACTTTATTCAAAAGTTAATTTGAAAAACAATAATAATAGTAAGAAAAACTGACATTTAAACGTCAAAAATATTTCTGACAAAGATTGCAAAGCCTACTAAAATTTTTTCATTCAAAATTCATTCCAACTTTTGATCGACAACCCCGTTGTTTAACGAGCAGTGTTTGCTTTACTTTTTTTTTTCTCAAAAATTAGTCGTTTTTGTAAAAATTTCAGAGAGACAAAAAAGTTTTAGAATACTTTCATCTATCTATGTAAAATTTTTCTAATGTATTTATCATCTGCATAAAAAAAATTTAGCAAAAATGCAAAGGGGGTGGGGTTACGTTTAGTAGTTTAGAAGGTTAGGTTGAAAGTACAAATAGGGTCAAAACGTGTCCTATTATGAGTTAAACATATTCCCCACATTTCATTTTCCTAGGCGTTTATGGTTTTTGAGAAAAAAAAATTAAACCAAAATTTTCGGCCATTTTTGAAAGGGTGTAGCTCCTTAGGGGAGCCGAAGTCACCTATGGTTCATATATCAAAGTACCCTTAAAATTCACTAAAGAATCATCCCTTGAAGTTTGTTGCAGTCATTCAGATACACCCTGTATACAGTGTGACTCGCTATAAATAGACAAACTTCAAGAGATGATTCTTTGTCGAAAATTAAGGTCACTTAATTACATTGTTTGGAGAGTTCTTAGCGAAAACCTGATGCATCCTTATTATTTAGTGCGTTCAGATTCTTATACCTGATGATTACGAATCCTGGATTACAATTACTACAAGTTTTACAATAAAGAGCGGAAGATGCCATGTTCGTCGATTCAATTTGTTTTGTCGGTGCGGCAATATTTATGTTGAGACATTCTCGGTGATCCAAGTTACTTATAGGGTCCTCGTTTAGATAGTAGAGAATACCTATTTTTTATAAAAGTTCTGCAGAAAGTTTCTGAAAAAGGAATGTACCACTGTAGTTGCGCCATACAATTAAGTATCAACACCATACGACCCTAGCTCATTATGCCAATATCGAAACAGAAAGGACAAATCGAAGACACGTACAGCGTTGGTCGTTGTGGATATATCAAGCCATAACTTTTTTTTAAAGTCATATGAAAGCCACTTTGTATAAAACCCCACTGGAAACTGTTGAAGAATGGGCAATACTGATTAGCTGCCAAATGTTAACCGACAATGGTAAACACTACAATATAGAGGTAGCGAGTAGTCTACAGGTCTACTTAAGGATGCGACCTTCCCCCGCCAGCCATGATTCTCTCCCACGTTCCAACACCAGGAAGGGAATTATGTCCCAACTATCACCCTATCCATAATCCCAACTCTAATACTCCTTCCAAATCCTTTCCATCTTCCAAACTGCTTGGCTAGCGTAGAAGATTATTTATTTATTTCTTCGAAACGCTAACAGAATGAACCCAATAGTAGCGCCAACTACAACATATTGTTAATTGTTTCGTTTTTTTAAACAAAAATTTTTTAAATAATAATATCAACGCTGTTGCAATATTTATTAAAGGAATCCTGAATTCTTACAAAAGGGGAGCCGGTGTTTAAACACCAAACTGTCACTAGTTTGGTACTGCGAAATATTGAAGTCTACATGTGATAAGATTTCCGGCGTATCAACATACCCATTAACAAGTTTATAAATACAAGAAATCTATATCAATAGCAAAACGTCTGCGTTGCAAGGCAGCCTTACATCTCGTCTCATACGGACAGTGCGGTAAACTAAATTTACGAGCCAGAAATCCCACAAACCAGTACTGCACGGCTTCCAACAGATTTATATGAGTATTGTACCTGAAATTCCAGACTACAAGCCCGAATGTGATGCTTGATGACCTTTGAAAACATACTTTGAAATAAAATATAATCAATATGGGAGGAGAAAAGCAATTTAGTGTCCAAGAACACACCAAGGTCATTAATTGAAGTAACTACATTTAAGGATACTGATCCAGGGGAATCCAAGAAAGTACTGAACAATGTATCTTCTACTACTGAAAGTAACTTGGTTGCACTTATCATAATGAAGAAACAATTTGTTGTGAGATCAGAAATCATGGAAACGGTGGAGGTCGTTTTGTAACAAAGTGCAATCAGCACTAGTACGGGTTTCAGAGTGTATCTTGCAGTTATCATTATGGCCAATAAACTTTAAAATATGCTGAAGTTTAAAACTACCGAAATGGAAACCCAGGTTGGAACATCCAAGTGTCAAATCACACACCCCAAACAATAAGAATAGACGATCACCTAGAAGAATTACAAGAAGAACTTAAAACTTAAAATGCGATTTCCTATGTCTATGTGCGACTAGACGAAAGGAAGACAAACCACCTTATTAAAATCTAGACATATGCTATTCCAATATAATTCAAAATTAAACGACAGCGTAGGAGGTACAGGAAAATCAACATCTAACAAAAAAATCAAACATCTCGTGACCAAATACTTTGCGATCTCCGATAGTCATATACCTGCCTGATCGTAAAACTGAACAATAGATACAAGGTCCAATTAATCTACAGCTATGCACCGACAACTAACGCAAATGATGAGACTATAGAGAAATTCTACGAGAACATAACATACATCAGAAGCGTAGAAAACTTTTTTTACACCATAATCACCGGAGATTTTAACGCTAAAATAGGCAAAAAACGAACTGATGACAATGAATACATTGGAGATTTTGAACTGGGAGAGAGGAACCACATAGGAGACATGATATCTTTTGCTATCTTTGTTTAAATAGATTCTATAATAAAAAGAGTCAACGAAAGTGGACATGACTTACCGCAGATAGTAGGACAAAAAATGAGATAGACTTTGTACTCTCTAATGACAGAAAGATATGTAAAAACATCATCGTCTTAAACCATTTTGACCATTTTAAACCATTTATTGAGTACATTTTGAGATGTACTCAATAAAGAAAGTCACCAAAATGAGCTAAAAAAAACTAGAATACCTAACTGCACTAAACACCAAAGATAACGAAAATAAAGGATGAAAATGGGACAAGGCGACAAGGCTTTGGGGCCTTACAGGAACTGATAAAGAATATATGAAAAAAAACAGCCAAAATAATATTGATACATAAAAAAGGCAATCAATGTACAATCGAATGTACGATTTCTGCAGCCAAAAATCAACCACTGTCCAAATATTCGTCCTTAGGCAGATACTGGAAAATCCACAGAATCAAATGCCTTGCTGAAGTCAAGCAAAACCAATAAGGTCAAACGCCGGTTATCACAACCACGTCTAATATCATCGGTAATTTTGATAAGCACCTGGCCAATAAATCAAAATACCGCTGTGTCTGCATATGCACCAAGCGCTCAAGTACTTTAGAAATTACGGAATTAATGGATATAGGACGAAAATCACTTAGACAAATAGGACACTTAAGTTTAGGAATGGGTATAAATAATATGTGGAGTAGTGGAGGAATGATTATATCCAAAATAAGAAGGAGCTGCTTAATGCTGACATCAGCACCAACACTAGTGGACCGAAAATGTCTGAGAGCCTGGCGGACTTGGAATTCATCAAACAACTCCAAGGAAAATCTGGAAGTGATATTAGCGGAGGCATTAATAGCGAGAATAATTGATACCTTAATTGAATCGTCAAGTGATAAACTAAGAACACAAATAAAAAATAATATACAAAAATTATCAACAAACAACCATTATCACCAAAAGGATACAAAATGTTTCTAGTTACTAGGACTATTAAAATTGAAATAATTATTAAAGTTTAATTATTGACCATTATTTTTTAATACAATCAATTTTCTATAATACAAGAGGGTTGGGAAAATCTGATATGAAGAATAAGTACTTGGAAGTTTGCAATGTTTACCACACAGGCCAGGTTCAGCTTCATTATGGAACCAACATAACCTAGGTCATGAAGGATAATCACAGGCATTGATCCAAGTAACACAATACTTTTGATATACCCTATACTCCTGAAGTTACTACTGAAGTATTCTTAGCATTTTGTCCATATCACCTGCATTAAATAACAAATTTTTATATTCATTTTACTACTTTGATGATGTTTGTTTGTACTTCTTTTTATAACACCACACTGAAATTTCAAAAGATGATATTCACTCAAACATTTCTGATTAATACAATACAAGAACACATGCAAAAGAAAGAAAAGATTTCTTAGAAACCACTTGAAGCGATTTTTAATTTCAACACACCTATATATTTTTAGGTTATTCTAAAACCTTCCTTACAATTATGAAATCATCATAGTCTTTTTATATAACATTTGTGTTATAATAAAACTCTTATCAATCACATTCATAATACCTTAAAATAACTTACCTTCCATAAGTGATTTAGAAATGTATTGTGACTTAAAAAATATTTAATAAAACATCAATATTTAAGATTTTTTTTCATCAAAACAAAATGGAGCATAACTTAATCTTCGTCGTATATTAATATTTTTAAAAGTTTCTAATCCTAATTTTTCAATCACTTAAGTCCAAAACATAACAAACACTTGTTTTAGTAAAACTAAATCTCAATAAAAAAATCTCCTTTATCTCAAAACATTTTTATAGTAATAATTACGCTTACCTTTTAAACCGCACACCACTACCAAAAATAACCAATTTCAAATTCGAAACACCTTTTTCGTTTTAACAGCACAAAATGAAATGAGTAAAGTTGTTGTCTTCGATGAAGAGTATAACCTCAACTTTTCAACCTTCTATTGTACGGTGATGGTGAATGGTTTAAATTGGATTTTTGTTTGATGAGAGGCCGGTCAGGTCACGTCTTGATCGATTTTGAACGATCGTGAACAAGACCCGGGTCCCCTTTAAACTTTTTAAACCGATTTAAAGCCATTATTTGATGAAGCCATCATGACACAGAGAACACGAACTAAAGTTGACAGTTAACTTTTAGGCGTTCTGGAATACGACGTGAAGTTAGTTGGATTAAAAATGAATACATTCATAATTATTTTTCTTAAATTTATATTTAATTTAAATATTTGTTAATTAACGTTGTTGAAATAATCAAACCGAAAGAATACAATAATTTTCTTTTAATTTGATTACACTTTTAGGGTGACTTTTAGGATACGTTCAGAAATAGTACTGCACTGTTTATATTAAAAACTTAGTTTTAAATAAATAAATTATTAATTAGAGCTCAATTGAATTTTTCAAAAAGAAATAAATTATTTTGAAATTAAAAATAAATTTTTATAAACTTTTAAATTTTCTAGAATAGAGTGAAGTTGGTTACATTAGATTTTATGATTGTAATCAATTCTTTTTATTTATTTTAATTAATAATTAATCACATTTAATAAGTTATAAAACAAAAATTTTGTCCATCCTGAGTTAAAAATTGTATATTATTATCTAATTTTTCACCATCTTGAGTTAAAAACTGTATATTATCATCATCTTCATCTAAAAGTGAATTTTTCTCAACACCTTCAACAATTCCAATTTCTTCTCCGTTTTTCTCGTGTTTTTCATTAAGTTTATCAGTATTTTCATCAACAACTTGAGCCGTTATCAACTTTCCTTCGTGCATAATTAAATTTATTGGTACCAAATTTCCATCTGACATTAAACCTTGTATACTTTGTCGCCCGTTTTCTTCCATACCCATTACTATTTTAATTTCACCTCCATTTTCGCCCGTTATACTCAAAGGATTACCATCATTATCGATAACTTGTTGTAATTGAAGCGACGTTTCCAGCGTTGTTAAACCGTCCTCAGGCGTTTCTTCGTTAATTATTTCTTGGGCGGATGTTAAAAGTGTTTTTTCTGCATCCTCAAGATTTAAATTTATGTTTGAATCAACTGCAACATTGCTTTCATCGACAACTTGTTCCATTGAATCGACGATGTGAACCACAGTTTGAGCTTCTTCGTTCGAATTTCCATCATCATATGTTAAATAAAGAATTTTTTCGCCTTCTTCTGAAGTAATTATTTTAATATTTCCCGCATTTAAATGATTTTTATCATCACGATTAAGTTTGTTGAGATGTATTTTTTTGTGTTTGGCCAGATTTGAGGAATCTGCAAATGATTTACTACAAAATTCACAAATGTATGGTTTCTCGCCCGTGTGTAAACGTTGGTGCTTTTTTAAAGCCCATTGTTCTGGAAATGCTCGCATACACTGGAATATAAGAAACATTTCAAGAAAATTGTTTTCATACATTTTTTAAGTTCTATAAGGTTTTCTTACCTGCCCACATTGGAATGGTCTCTCATCGCTGTGCCTCCTCGTATGTGATTTCCAAGTATCTTTGTTCAAAAACGTTTTCGAGCAATACTCGCATTGCCACGGTCTTTCGCCCGTGTGTCTTTTCACGTGATTTTTGTATTGAGAGGATGTCGTAAATTTTCTATCACAATGCGAACACGTAAACGGTTTTTCACCTGAAATACGCTAAACTTCAAAACTTCTTGATACACTTGAAATATGATATTTTAAGCTTAAATTGTAAAATATGGTGAGTCTCAAGACAATTAAAAAAACACATGGGAGTTGTGAGTGATATGGGTTTATTTTTTAAAAATATGTTATATTTTATTTTATTCATCATGTTCAGTGGGCAAGCTGAGGCTTGCTGAGGCCATGAGTAGATATGTTTAATGGATTAGTAGAGTTTATGTAGACTCAGGACCAACAGAGGGTTCTCATTAAAAGGTCTATGCTACCAGCGTTTTGGTCACTTGCAAAAGAACTGCAGGTCAGACCGAATTTGTGAACATCGAACAATAAAAGTTGCCCAAAGAAGGGTGATCGTGTTGTATGTTATTTGTAAGACTAGGAAAAAAAGGCAACACATGAAACAGGGATCGATTATGGATTCCAATATCGCCCAATTGATCACCATTTCTACACGGGTAATAAGTGTATTCGTCAGGCGCGTGTATTAATAATCCGATATCTGTAAGTATGCTCTTTAGGATATGCCCGCTAGGATTGTTGGTTCTACATCCTCAGATTTGGTTTTTACTACATATTTAGGTCTCTTATTAGCAGTAATAAACTTTCGAATAAGTACGATGAAAAAATTATTTATTAAATGATATTGGTGCTACATATGTTTCGAGAAAATATCTCGTCTTCAGGCACGACTGTATTGAAAAAACATTTATTAGTAAGCTAAACAAAAACTAATTAAAATAATTACCGTCAGAAATTTAGCAAAGAAAGTAAACTATCCAGTCTCCTGGATCTCGACAATATCATCAGCAATTAGTCACAATTATTTAAAAAAGGGGGGGAAGCTATTCAGAGCTGGAAATAAAATAAAATACACTGTTGGAAATAATTCACGAGCACACCCTATATAATCTGAACACGTGAAGATAAATCCATAATATTTGCGGAGCACAAAGATTTACTGTAGACGAGTTTATTCAGGGAGTTTCGAGTTGTTCCGTCGCAGCATTGTTGACTGAGCCGCCCTTCCAAATGGAACATTCCGTCGCTATGGAGACCGAAGTGGATGGAAAATACCGGTCGTTTTTAGTGTGGTGTGAGGGACCACATTGTTATCGTACTCTGTGCGCAATGGATGGACGATCGCGTTACTTAAGCGAGTTTGAGTGAGGACTGTTTGTGGGTATGCATATTGAGGGTGTATCGTTCTGTGAAATTGCGCGTCGTCTCGAGCGGTCCTTATCGGTAGTGCAACGGGCATGGCGAGAATGGTTTGAAGTAGGACATAGGTACCTACAGCCGCGGCCGGGACGGCCCTGCGCGTCCCCAGCACTCGAGGATCACGTTCTTGTACTCAGCGCTTTAGCGTCGTGTGTGTCCTCCTCAAGGCAACTTGGAGCTGTTTGGCCACTGGCAGGGGAAGGCGCACTCACTACGCGAACTGTACGGCGGCGTTTGGTAGATAGTGGACTGGCGCGTGCGTCGTGCGATACAGTGGATTCCAAAAACACCCGAGCACCGTAGCATACGTCACGAGTGGGTCGACGCTAGGCATTAGTAAGTTGCCGAGTAGAGGGACATTTTGTTTTCCGACGAATCAAGATTCGAATTGAGCACCGGTGATGCGTGAATTTTAGTTCGTCGGAGCCGTGATGATCGTCTACTCGATCAGTGTCTGCAAGAACGCCCTATCCACCGACAACCGAGCATTATGGTATGGGGTGCGATTACATATTGTGGACGTACACGTCTGCTGCGTGTATAGCAGACCATGACGGGTCAACGATACGTAGATGAGGTGCTACGGTCCGTTGTGCTTCCCTACGTTCGGCGGCTCCCAGGTCTGCTATACATGCACGACAAAGTACGACAGCACATTGGGCATGTTGTACAGACCTTTGTGGAAGAGCACCGTATACGAATGCTTGCATGGCTAGCTCGGATTCCGCATCTGAATCCGATCGAACATGTTTGGGACATGATTGGTCGGAGACTTCTACGTTATCCGGCTTCCTCGGCTAACATTGAGGAGCTATGGAGGCGAGTTGAGGTGGCATGGTTGGCCATCCCTCTCGCTACAATATAGCGACTTATAGACTCCATGCCACGTCGTGTGGCGATGGTACGCGAAGCTCATGGGGGATACTCTCGCTATTGATGTTTTTCCTCCCAGCAGAGTTGTGCCGTTCTCCATGTGAGAGTAAGTTACACTACTTTAGTACTACTTCTATACCAAATTTTATTGCGCTAGACACACGCGTTCAGATTATACTGGGTGTGCTCGTGAATTATTTCCAACAGTGTAATATAAATGGAGAAACACAACCAAAATGAACCAGAACAAATATGGCGTGAACTTACATGTTTCTTTGAAAATATTGTAGAGATCAAGACACTAAACAATTAAAATTCAAAAATACACTATAATAAAACTACGTTGTTCAAATAAAACTTAGAAAAACTACCAAAACAGAAATATATAGTAAAATTGCACAATAAAACACATTAAAATTAACAGCACTAGCAACTCAACGTAACGACGACCAGTTATAAAAGGAACAAACAAACAGGTTATACATTTGAAGAAATAAATTTTATAAAGTATCTATTGTTATTAAATTCTGTAATTTCTAGATGTCTAGCTCTCCAGATTTGTTTATTCTTTTTATTAGATGTATGTTGTTAATGCTAGAGTTGTGGTTTTCATCTTTTAAATGTTTACAAAATGTGGAAGAGATTCTTGATAAATGTTCTTTGGCTCTGGTTTTTAAATTACGCCCTGTTTGTCCTATATAGAATTTAGTACAATCTTCACAGNGATCGAATTTGTGAACATCGAACAATAAAAGTTGCCCAAAGAGGGGTGATCGTGTTATATGTTATTTGTAAGACTAGGGAAAAAAGGCAACACATGAAATAGGGGGAAGCCGACATGGTAGGTAATTCGTTGCTGGGAAGATTTTTTTTTAACAGTGTTCAACATTAAATGTTACTTCATGGCCAGGGGCGGACTAAGGCCTACGCAAGCTAGGCACGTGCCTAGAACCCGTAATTTTTGGGGCCCGAAAATTAGGTTTTTAATTTTTATTTTTATTTAACAGAAAAACGTGATATTCATAATTATTGCTGAAACGTATTATTTAATTAGCAACATTAAAAAAAGATCTGAGGGATATAAAACTATTCCCAATAAATTCAAAAAAAATTTTCATGATAGTGATGTTGGTGACTCTTCAATAGAGCAATTAAAATGTAATGAACAAGATTTAAACCTAGCAGAACTGAAAAATGAAGTATTACTATTTAAGACTTTTATAAGTAATGAAAATATTATTTTGCCTGTATCTATTATACAGTGTGTCCCCGGATAGGTGAAACGACTCTTATAAAAGGTAAAATTTTTTCGATATTAATTGTCATTTTCTGTGGTTTAGCCCTGCTTGATTAAAGACTAATTTTGAACATATTTTCAATTTTTAAAAAAGAAGTGAGCCTTGACAGTGAAAGAAAAACGCTTTTTGTGGCAGGTAAAGTACCTTTACTGTTTACAGTACGTGAAAGTGTTACTAAGAAGATTTGTTCAGAATGAAAAACTATGGCCATATGCATATTTTCGGAATGATCGGCCTACTTTGAAAAAATCCATATCAAACAATTTTATTTTTAACAAAGACTCCTATGGAAAAACAAAATTGCTTTCCTGTTACTGTTAATCTGTCAAACTGTAATTTGGTAAACTTAAACAGTTTTTTAAGTACAATGTTAACATTAGAGGAAAAAGTATACGTGATTCACTGTTATGGAAGCGGGGAAAAACCGATAAATATGATTATTGCTTTATTTAGTGAACAATTTCCAAATACTAGAATTAAAAGAAGTGTTTGTTGGCGTTTAATCAAAAGATTTCTTACAGCATGAAGTATTCACTCTAAGAAAAAAAATTATGATGAAACTGATTAACTGTTTTCTTTTGTGGGTGAACACACACTTAATTTTTTGTGAGCATTTTAAGAACAGTTTGTTTATTTCTCCCGAATAATCTGAATCTCAAAACAAAAAATCCTAATAAAGTACTATTGACGAAAATAATAAACAATGGGTTTTGTCAAAGTAGGCCGATAATTCCGAAAATTTGCATATGATCATAACTTTTCATTCTGAATAGAATTTCTTAGTAACATTTTACCATACTGTAAATAGAAAAGGTACTTTACCTGACACACAAGAAGTTTTCGCTTCAGTGTCAACACACCCTTGTTTTTTAAAATTTGAAAATATGTTCAAAATTAGTCTTTAACCAAGCAGGGCTGAACCCCAAAAGATGACAATTAGTATAGAAAAAATTTTACATTTTATAAGAGTCGTTTCACCTATCCGGGGACACACTGTGTATATGTGGTCATTTATTCAGGATATAAGATAATATTCAGGAATAGTATTATTGCAGTATTCCCTAATTTAAACATAATTCTGAGAATTTATTAAACCCTTCGAATACGCAATGCAAGCGGTGAAAGATCATTCACAGTAATGGTCAGAATAAAGAATTTTTTAAGATCCACATTAGGCCAACAAAAATTAAATAGTTTATCATTACTTTATATAGAAAAAGAGATATTAAATAACTCTATTAATTATGACAAACTAATTGGCGAGTTTACAGAATTAAAAGTGAGAAAAAAGGCAATATAACTAATCAATCTGGGTATATTTGTTTAAGTATTATTGTTTGTTTTAATAAATTATGTTTATTTAATTTTTGTATAATATATGTATATTATTTTTTTCCCTTTTTTCTTGGAATCCGATAATTAAATAGAACTACATACTATATGCTTTAAAACCAAACTACCAAACGCAAAGTATGTGTCATGACTGAGAAATAGGCCCGGAAGTACAATGTTGTCTAGGGCCCGCTTTAGCCTTAGTCCGCCACTGTTTTCATGGCTTTGATAACAATTGAAATTAATTATACAATAATAGCGAG